TCTTTAAAAAAAAAAAAAAAGAATTTTTTCTTGTAAAACAACTGTGAGCCTGATTCTTCTCTTTGGCAGTATAAAGAGCTCATCCCTTGTAAAGCATTAGAAAATTAGTAGTTAGCTTTCTTTTATGCTATGTTAAGGTGCTCCTTTTTTATGTTATACTATCAATAAGCAGACTTGTAGTAAGTTTTATTTTTCATTTCATCTTAAGCCTTAAATTTTCATTAACTTTCAAATCCTTTTCAGATTAGGTCTTTATACTTATTCCAATAATGTTTTTGCATCTCTTGGTTCAATCAAAGATGGAGAGATTGATTCCTCTTTTTGTGTGCAGAGGAGAAGAATGATTTAACAAATTTTTCTTTTTTTTTTTTAAGTCTATTTATTTGAGAGAGAGAGTGAGCACAAGCAGGGGGAGCAGCAGGCAGAGAGGGAGAAGCAGGCTCTCTGCTGAGCGGGAGCCCAGTGCGGGGCTCGATCCCAGGACCCCAAGATCATGACCTGAGCCAAAGGCAGACGCTTAACCGACTGAGCCACCCAGGTGCCCCAGATTTTTCTTTTCCAATGTGGGATTTGAGAAGTCTTTTGACAATTCCACAGATTTTAACAAAACCAAGCTGAGTGTCCATTTTCCAGATATGTGTCTCCTGCACAAAGATATGTACTCAAGTGACACTTAAGAATTTTAGCCAGCTCAGAATTCTGCAGATGGAAGGAAAGCTAAGGAAAGGACGTCTACAAATAGGATAAAGAGAGACAGAGTTGGGGTGCCTGGGTGGCTCAGTCGTTAAGCGTCTGCCTTCAGCTCAGGTCATGATCCCAGGGTCCTGGGATCGAACCCTGCATCGGGCTCCCTGCTCCGCGGGAAGCCTGCTTCTCCCTCTGCCGGACACTCTCTCTCTCTCTCTGACTCTCATGAATAAATAAATAAAACATTAAAAAAAAAAAAGAAGAGGCTTAATTCTCCCTGTTGATAAAGGGGAGAGACTCCCCCTCCCTTTTGTCACAACATTTACTATAGAGAATCTATAAGCAACTCCTGATCCCTTTGAAGACTACATAGGCCTTTGGCCCCTAGGGCTCTGTTACTCCTGCGTTCATGACCTATATTGTTTAATTCCAAAAAGTACTGTCATGCAAGTAAGTTTCTTTTTCCTCTGGATAAGGTCAATAAACTAACACACATAGTCACCCCAATTACAAACATAAAGTTAGGATAAACTCTGTGTGACAAATGATGCTTTCAGGTGACCTTACTAGAGAACAGGTTCTATTTATCTTCTAAATATGTATATAATGGGTTCTATCTGCTTTCTGTATAATAGGGTGAGATTTTTTTCCTGCAAGTCTTTGTAATTTCTAGCTGATTTCTGATGCACATCACAGTCTGGCATAATACTTACTCAATAATGTGGTATAAAAAGAAATATATTTGGTCTTGGTCCCCTGTGCCCTGTTCCTGGCACAGAGAGCCTACAACCCTTGTTATCTCCTGAGTGATAGGAGTATCTTGTGTCATTCATAAGGAGCCCCCTTTTGAGCACACCTGAATTTATGCTAAAGAAGTGTGTTAGGGTGGGGGCCCTAAATAGAATCAGGATGGGGAGTGGTCCTCAGAAACATTGGGGTTAGAGGCTTGGAACTTTTAGCCCTACCACTGACCTCCAGGGGCTGGAGCTAGAGATTGAAGCTCTATAAAAACTCCTAAACAAGAACAGTTGAGGAGCCTCCAGATCTGTAAACATCCCTGGGG